TTTAAAAGCATTTATTGATTTTTTATTTTTTATTTTTTATTTTTTTTATTTTCCGATTAGGTGAGGTTTTGTATAAAGAGCCCACCTTACCCTATAGAAGGTGCACCTCTAAATTTTATCGAAAAGTATGGTTTTGGTGTCCATAACCTTTCAGTGACTTGAAAACTTATAAACTTATGTTCAACCCTTATTATGAAATTCAAAATTTTAAAAAGGGTGTAAATCGGGTAGATCCATAAACTCTTGAAAATCTGTAAAGTAGATGGTCTAGGTCACTTGTTATAAGATGCACTATTTTAAGGACTTCAATTTATTTTCTTCTTTAAGTTCATATATCTCTAGGTCGAGATGATCAATTGGATAGTTTTCCAACTTTATAATACTCTTTTTTATTGGATTTTTTAGTACACCTTACTTCTATAGTATAAGGTTGCAACTTTGTATAAAAACTTTTTCTCATCCAACAACATAACTACAGTTAGGTGACATCGTTTCTTCATTGTGTTCGCGTGTGGAATTTCAGATCAAAATATAAGAAAAAAGCAATAATACTAAGAAATATAAGAAAAAAGAAATACTTAAAAGAAATAGGTTTTATATAAGGATGAGGTTTCTATAAGATGTAGGATTTATGAAAACAAAAAAAAGCTTCACTTCAAATCCTTATTTGGAAAGAATTTTCAACAAAGGAAATATCTACGATGGCTTTAAAATCAATTTCTAACATCAATAATAAAATTTAAAATGATAAAAATGGTACAAATTTTGTGGATATATGAACCCTTATATTTAGGGCACAATGTACTGTCTATATAATTTGTTATAATATACACTATTTTTAAAGCTTGAGTTTTTTTTTTTTTTACAACCATAACGTTAAAGTGGGGATGATGGATGTGACGATTTTTCAATGATTGAATTGTAATTTTGGATGAGTTAGGAGGTGAGGCTTTAGTTACTTCGATAGAGCTGCAGGCCAGTCAAACCATTTTCCTATGCGGTTAGTACATGTGTAGTACATGTGAAAGTTATAAATGAGAGGACTCTTTTGCACTACATCCTACCATTTGTCCTACTATTTGGCCTCTGCCAAAACGTTCCAAACATAGGAGAAAGCCATGGCAAAATTGCCTTCAGGTAGGCTCCTCCATCTCACACTAGTATCAGTAATATGGTGAGGTTCCCTCTTCCCTTCTCTCTCCTCTTCCCTTCTCTCTAACTCCCAATCCACCTCCATTGGTATTCGTCTATCTGTCCATTTTTATGGAATTGTTGTCCCAAAAATGATACCATTTGATCTCTCTATCAACCAATCTCTTTCCCCCACTATCATATATTCCTGTTTAGTGTTTCATATGAATAAAATGATGTCATTTACAGGTGTAATGGGGAAGATATGGCTGCTTTTCTTTGTGGGGTTTTCTGCCTATTTGTACAGGCTCATCACCCCTCCTCCTCCAAGGATATGCGGTTCTCCCAATGGCCCTCCAATTACAGGACCAAGAATCAAGCTCAATGATGGCAGATTTCTTGCTTATTTTGAGAAAGGGGTGCCTAGAGAGAAGGCCCACTACAAGGTAGTCATGGTTCATGGCTTCGACGGTTCGAGATGCGACAGTGTTCTCGCCTCCCAGGTGTGTATGCAAAACTCCATCTCTGTGTGTGTATCAGAGAGAGAGAGAGAGAGAGCTTCTGTCTTGTCCCTCCATCCAGTGCTCTCACTATAGAGGAAGAGCGGTAGGTGAGGGCTTAGTAATACATATTCTCTTGACCGCCCATACAAACAATGGATGGTTGGAGATAAGCCGTTCTGTCCTTCGGTATGAATCTGCTAGCTGAAGCACAGTAACTTCTTATCTCCACCTTTCCATGTTAAGCATGGACGGTGTAGATGTATGTATAAGTTCTTCACGTGACAGTTTACATTAAAAGTTCCCTCTGTGGAAATGGATTGGTGCGCCGCCTCTTTTGCACCACACATTTGGCACCGAAATTTTTCTAAAGGATGGGCCTTTTTTGACTCAGCCAACTCCACCATGGTTGTTTTTTTTTTTTTTTTTGTTTTTTTTTTTTTGTTTTTTTTCACGGTGGTGATCATAGATATGAAAAAAGTAGGAAATATTATTGCCCTACGACTTTTTAAAATACTAAAACAAATTATTTCTTTTTGAACTTTTTCCTGTGCGAACAAGCCAATAAATTTACGATCAAAATACCCTTTCCACCCCCATTATATACATGTTTTTATGGTTCGGCTCCGACACAACCAGTCTGGCATTATGAAAACGATGTGCCAAGACTGGTCAGACCCTATGAAATCAAGTGCCTGATCGGTTCGACAAATTTTTTGCCCCAGACTAATCCAACACAATTTTTGTGCTTGATTGAACTCGATCCAACATATTTTTTCTCTGGGACTCATTTTGCATTCTAGCACAATAAAAAGAACCAAACAAAAAAAACGGCTGAAGTAAATATCGACGTATTTTGGTTAAAAAAAAAAAAATTTAACTTTAAGGTATTTTGGTAAAAAAAAATATCTTTTTAACTTGGAGGTGTTACTACCAAACAAACGCAATATTGGGATTTATAAAGTGAAAGCATTATGAAAATTTAATTTTAAAATATGCTTTTTATAGATAATTTTTCACACGGTGCATATTTGTTTGTCCGGTGGACCTTAAAGCACGTCCATCTTTTGGTAGGTCAGCAGGTTCTTGTGCTCACTAACTCGCGTTACCACTTTCTATAACTAAAAGTTCATGGGCTCCTATGGAGCATATAATCTACTCTATTCACTCTTAGTAAATCTAGCAAGACCACTTCAAAAACACCATAAATTAATGAATATATATATTTTGAGAATGGGGTTGGGGTCATAGTTGTAGCATCACTTCTATCCCAGGTCTAAGCTTCTATTCTCATGTAAAACATTAAAAAATTATCAATGATTTCAAAATCGGTAGGGGCTCGTCATCTCCACTGTATTACCCAAAAAAAAAAAAAAAAAAAAACTAGCAAAACTATGCATAGGAGTATTTTGAAACTTTGTAATTCAATGTTTTCTAACATGCCTCTGTCCCTGAGCCACGGTGAATAACTCGGCCAAATAGAGTACATCATTCGAAAGAACCTAAAATTTTTCAAAAATAAAAAATTACTGGAAAAATAAAATAAAAATTGCAAAGTTAACATATTAGTTGGATCATGTATTTTCAAGATTTTCAATTCTTTATAATTAGTTATGAAAATAGGTTTTCAAACTGGCGTACTAGTTTTTGGCAATGACACTTCATCTTCTGGCAGAGTTATGCAGTGCACGTTACTTGTGTTGTTTAATACTACAACAATTTTCTTGCAATAGCTTTCAATAGTATGAGCTTGATCAGATTGTGAATAGTGTATTATAGTGTTTTACAAATACATACACAAGGAAATTGAAAAATGCTGCAACATTTTTCCTAGAATAGCTCTCTGTTGTGCCCTAATACCATTTATTGTGTGTGGAAGCTCTAAATCCAATGGGTTAATATTTTGGCAAATAAAGTAAAAAAAAACAAAAACATGAAACACATACAACAACAACAACACAAAGATTTACGTGGTTCACACCAAAAAGACTACATCTATGAGCATGGCAAACTGAAATCCACCATAATAATAAAAGTTACATGAACGATTTTGGAACAAACCTTGACAAAAATACAGGTGAGCAAACCCTTTTAAACCTACTCTCCCAAAGGGCACCATGTTGATATCTCATCTCTATTCTATAAGTAGACAACTGTCTAGGAAGATAACAACTTTGAGAGCAAACGAGATTTTATTTCACTAAAAAAGGGAAACAATCCAAAATCTCCATGGGAACCATTTCTCTACAAAAAACCAATATCTCACTCAGCAGAAGTCTTCAGGAGGCATCATCAATGATTCTCTTCATAAGAAACTCTCTTCTCTTTAAGAGGAGATTGCAACTAATGCACAAGAGGCTCTATCTCCCTCTCTCTAGAAGAACCACCATTTCCATATGGCGACCCAAATAGGGCACACAAAATTCTCTGTACTTTTATCCCATATATATAAGATTTGAAGTCCATACTAAATAAGAAACGTCCTATAGATATCACATATATTTCAAAAGACCAAGAAATATATCCAAGGGTCCTAATCTTTTTAGATTTCTATTTCCTTTAGTAAACTTATCAAATATCAATTTCAATCCCACATAATAAGGGAATATCTCAATCCCACATAATATGGAAATATCTCAATCCCACAAAATTTGGGGATTTCCTTATGTGGGTGATTTTGTATAGCACCAAATCCAACAATCTTTACCTTGATATCAAAATCATTTGCTCAACATGCCAACATTCTTTGGATAGCTTCATAAATTTATGATCTTTTGCCCAATAAATTCATTCATCATTCTTGCTGAAAAATAATGTTTGGCGTCAAATTTCTTCACGTCAAACTTTGCATTCGAAACTTTTATCGCCGTATCGAAAACCCAAAACCAAGGCTCTGATACCACTTGTTTTGGATTTTAGTTTGTCATGCTCGTGGATGTAGCCTTTTTCGATTGAACCACGTAAATCTTTGTGTCCTAGTATTATATGTTTCATATTTTTTTTTCTCGTACTTTATTTGTCAAAATATTAACCCATTGGGTTTAGAGATTTCGTGCACAATAAGTGGTAGCATGGCACAATAAGTGGGTATTAGAGCACTATAGGTGGTATCAGAGAGGTTTTGTGTTGTCGGCATGGCAGTAAAGGTTTCAAATGCAAAGTTCGAGGTGAAAAAATTTGATGGCAAACACTATTTTTTAGCAAGAATAATGGAGGAATTTATTTGATAAAATATGATGAATTTATGAAGTTATCCAATGGATGTTGACATGGTGAGCAGGTGATTTGATATCAATGTGGAGATTGTTGGATTTGGAGCTATCCAAAATCACCAACATAAGGAAATCTCATATTTTATGGGATTAAAATATTTCCATTATTTGGGATTGAGATATTCCCTTAGAGATTGAGATTGATATTGATAAGTTTCCTAAAGGAAATAGAAATCCAAAAAGATTAAGACTCTTGGATTTATCTCTTGGGTTTTGAGATATATGTAAGATTTATAGGAAGTTTCTTATTTAGTATGAACTCTTAATCTTATATATATTGATGAAAGTATTGAGAATTTGTGTGTCCTATTTGGGTCACCATATGAGAATGGTGGTTCCTCTAGAAAGAGATGGAAGTGGAGCCTCTTGTACGCAATTTCCTCTTAGAAAAGAGAGTTTCCTATGAAGAAATGCATTGATGGTGCCTCTTGAAAATTCCTACAGAGTGAGAGGGTGGTTTCTTATAGAGAATTGGTTCCCATGGAAATTTTAGGTTCTTTCTCCTTTTAGTGAGATAAAGTCTCGTTTGCTCTCAAAGTTGTTCTCTTCCTAGACAGTGATCTAGTTATAGAATAAAGATGAGATATTGACATGGTGCCGTTTGGGAGAGCAGGTTTTAAAGGGTTTGTTCAACTTGTGCTTTTTCGAAGTTTGTTCCAAAATATTTGATATAATTTTTTTTGGTATAGTGGACTTCTGTTTGTCGTGCTTGTAGATGTAGCCCTTTTAGTGTGAACCCTGTAAATCTTTGTGTTTTTGTGGTGTGTATTTTATGTTTTATTTATTGTTCTTTATTTACCAAAAATGAACCTGTCGGGTTTAGAGCTTCCGCGCATAACAAGTGGTATCAGAGCACTATACTCTCAACTTTACGATCTTGACCAGATTGTTGATGCTATATTTTAGGATTTTACATTTAGTATTTTTAATGTAAATTTGATTATGCTGAAATTTTAGAAGTTTACACAAACTTAGGGCACAATAATACATCCAATGAATTAAAATGACTAAAACACCCATTAATTATTCATTGGTATTTTGGTCATTTTAAATTAATAAAAGCATTTTTCTAATGCTTTACCCATTACGCCCTATTTGAATTGTAGACCCCAAATTTTAGATTGATTATATTTTTTAAAAAAACATAAATGCTAACTTTCGCAGAGTGTATGCACTCTCAACAGTCCGATCGGAAATTCAATGTAGCCCACTATGAGAAGGACATGTAGTTTACCTGTATATATATATTGTATTGTATGTCTTTTAACTATGTTTATAGTTGGGACTGGGGTAGTGGTTGTAGCATCCCCACTCTCAAATCACTTCATTGTGGTTTTCATTTCTACCGATACCATCTCACTAATACCTTCAAAAAGCTAACTGAATTACCTAAAAAAAAAACTATAGTTTATACTTCTGATTCCCCACACATTTTATGGTCCAAAAATATCAAAATTAATTCCACTAAAGTGAATAAAGAGTTCTTTCATAGAAGGTTACCTAATTCTACTTGCTAGTTGATATCTTAAAGACATACATGTGATTTAGTTTGCAAATTGAGCTGCATGATTCCCAAAGAAACATGAGTATTTGAGTCATCAATTAAGGGGATTTTTAGTTGTTCAACTAACTACACAAGTATTTTGTTTGTAATACTCTCTCATCACATTATGTACCTTATGATCGATCCATTTTTGTAAAGAATGGCTTCTGGTTTTGGTTTTAGGAATTCTTGGAGGAGCATGGGGTGTATATTGTGTCATATGATAGAGCAGGATATGGAGAGAGTGACCCTAACCCAAAGAGGTCAGTGAAAAGTGAAGCTTTTGATGTTGAGAACCTTGCTGATGCTCTTCAACTGGGGCCCAAGTTTTATGTGATGGGTTTCTCTATGGGTGGCTACACTGTTTGGAGCTGCCTTAAATATATACCACACAGGTGATCAGTGCTAAGCTTTTGCTACAACTTGCTCTTATTCTAAAATATATTACATTCTCAAATAATATATTTCTCATTGGACAAGGTTTTTCAGTATTTATTACAGGGTGTAACTAAAGAGTCTCTCTTATTTGTAACATAAGAGTTTATGAAAAAAAATGTGCCAGGTTTGATTTTGTAATGTGTATTTGGTTATAATTTACATACACATTATTGGGATCAATAAAGGATAAACTTTCAGCACATTTTGGGACCTCTTAGGCTTACATTCTCATTTCAACATGTATTAATATGCAGGCTAGCAGGTGCAGCCCTCATTGCCCCTGTAATCAATTACTGGTGGCCTGGTTTTCCTTCGAATTTATTGAAAGAGGGATATAATTGGCAACTTGTTCAGGATCAGTGGGCACTTAGAATCTTCCATTATTTGCCATGCTTAACTTATTGGTGGAACACACAAACATGGTTCCCAGGATGTAGTGTTCCATTGGCGGACCCAAGGATTTTCAACCCTTGGGATACTCAGATGCTCCCTAATATCTCAACGATGAGAAAGCCATATATGGTGCTTACAATCTTTGCAAGCCATTTATGTTGAAATGAATATGAGTGAGAGAGTCTTTACTTCGCTTATTCGAATTTTCCTCATTTCCCTTGTCCATTTTTTTTGTTTCTAACAGGGGCAAGCAAGGCAACAAGGGATTTATAACTCCATTGTTCGAGATCTGGTAGTGGGGTTTGGCACTTGGGATTTCGACCCCATGGATCTTGAGAACCCCTTTTCTGATGGAAATGGCTCAGTTCACTTGTGGCATGGAGACGACGATCGAATAGTGCCCCATATGCTTCAACGTTACATTGCCACGAAACTGCCTTGGGTTCATTACCATGGGCTTCAAGGTGTAGGCCACATGCTCATATATTCTGACTATATGTCTGAGATGATCATAAGGGCCCTCTTGCACGGAGCCAATAATTCTAACTAGTTTCTTTCTAATATACATTGTTTTGTAGTTTTAATTTTGGTTTCTAGTTTGAAAGTCTTCTAGATTTTTGAATGTTAGTATCTATTTGAGTACTTGCATACAGGGCTTATAAGGTGTTGGAATACATGTGGTAGGATGAGAAGCTATTTGAATCAAACATTGTGAAGGAATTTTCACAAGGCAAAGATTATATTTTTTCTTGTTCTTATAAAGGATTTGGCGTTATAGAGGCATGGAATTAAGTTGTCAATGACAGCTTCCCATATTCCGTTCTGCAATTTCTTCTATTCATTTTGTCTTACAAAAATTGTCGAACTTTGGAGAAACAGATCATCCTCAGCTACTAACTTTCAAGTTTGTAGATTTTTAATTTGCACACTCACTCTCAACAAATATCTGAAATTCTTTCATATTCCACGCTTCAAATGCCTCAAAATAGATCCAAGATATAGAAATTATTTATTTATTATGCTTTGATATTCACACAGGAATCAACAGGAGATCCCCTTTGGTAAATGTGAAATTGATTTGAAAAGTTTGATAAGAAAATTGAACGCATGAATGCATGGAAGAGACATCTTAGCTAAAAGTAAATAGATATATCTCTATATCTATATACTACCTAATCCATGACTCTATAACATTTGAGTAAGCATGGCAAAGGGCTGGCAAGCCCAAGCCCTAGCACTACTCCCTTAGGGCTGGCCCAGGCTTAGCCCTGCCCTAACCATGCCAAAGAGGCCCAGACCTAGGCCTGGCACTAGACCTCTCGTGGGCGTTTGGGCTAGGCCAAGCTGGACAAGAAAAAATTGAAATGTTATCCCTTGATCTATGAGATGTAAGGTGATCCAATGGTTCTTAACTTAAGGTTTGTGAAATGCGAATTGAATTACACCAAAAGTGGGATACTTGAAAGCGAATTTAGGGTTTCATGGGGGATAAGGGTATAACCGATTGCAAGCTATTTGATGTGATGTGTGGTCAGGATTATGGCTAACTCTCTTGCCCCTTGGATAATCTAATCTATGGACCATATTCAATTTCAAAAAGGAATCACACTCAACCTAACTTTACAAGGTAGTTCCCTCACTTAAATAAATTTGAAAACTTTCAAAACCCAAGAGTGGCAAGTCTTTCTTCCATTGCTCATTCCTTTGGATAGAGAAAAGAAAGAGATGATATGGGAGAGAGGCACGCCCTCCTTTCCACCATGAGAGCTTTACTTGAAGTTCTTCGAAGGATCAACATGACTTCACGCGAGCATTTTTTCTTGCTGTAAAATCAGCTATAATGGTAAGGTAACTCAGACCCTTTGGCCCTTTTGACTCGATTATCCTTAAATTGAGAATAGCATTACCCTATGTCTAGCTTTACATATATCACTTTGGCATGATTTTGATCACTCTTTCTTGAGATTTACTTGGCTGAAATTTCCTGTATTTATATTAGATAACAATAAACAAAGTCTCTTTCTATCGCTCTCAGGGCGTGTTTGGTAACTGGAAGGTAAATATTTTCTGAAAATTGGAAGTTCTTCTTTACTAGGAAGAAAGAAATTATTGTAAGAAGTTTTGGGTTTCTGGGCTTAATAACCTGTTGGAATGTAAAAGAAGTTTGATAACAATCAAAGACAAGACCAAACAAAAATCCCAACTCTTCAACTTAAAATCTCAAGGGAATTGGGCACCATAGCACCAGGCTTTGTAAAGTAGTGAATGAGGAGTAAATTTAGATGGATGTTAGTAAACTCTGATGAACCTTGAATAATAGCAACCATGTGCATTCTAGGTTAGCATCAAATGTATATCTAGAAGGGTAATAGAAATAGCCTTCTTGTTTTAATACATCCTATACAACAAAATATTTGCTAAAATAACGTGATCATAAGGAAGAGTGCAAGTGCTTGTTATACTGACTTGGCAAGAAGATACAAAGATACAGGAAAATCTGAGTGAACAAATAAGCTCATATATAGATGAGTCTAATAACTATGGGGAAAAAAAAAATTAGCATAAGTGGAAGCATTCTAAAAATTTTTAAGGAACTATTATCAATTAGAACTACCCAATACAGGACCAAAATACCCAATATTCATTCAAAGAACCAAAGCACAATAAAAAAATAACCCCTCCATACTATATTGCTACCCAAATAAGGTGACCTCCAAAACTAGAGATGGCTTAGTAAATTATGTACAATCAGAGCAAACAAAAAAGTGTAGAGAGAAAGATAAAACAAGGAGATGGAAAAGAGAGAGAGAAGATAGATAGAGGGAAGAGAGAAAGAGAGAGAAGAAGAAGACTTATGAAGACTCGCACGGCCTAAAGGGGCAAGAAAGCGATCTAAAGACCGAGCCCTGAAAGAATTGCTTTCCAAGGAACCTAGCAAAAGTGTCTGAGCTAGAGAAAGGAAAGAAAGATAAGAAGGAGGAGGTGGAAGAGAGATACAAGATAGATAGAGGGAAAAGTGAGAGAGAGAGAGAGGGATAGAAGAGAGGAGAATGAAAGAGAGAGAGAGAGAAAGGGAGAAAAGAGAGAGAAAAGGGGGAAGAGAGAGGGAAAAAGAAGAGGGGCAAAGAAAGAAAGAGAGGGAGAAGATCGAGTGAGGGAGCATGGGCTCACTGCAGGCCCATGAGCGGGAGAGAGAGAGAGAGAAAGAGGGAGAGGAGAAAATGAGAAAGCGAGGAAGGGAGAAGAGAGAGAATGAGGGGGAGAGAGAAATAAATGGGCCCGTTGCGGGCTCTTGAAGGGGAGAGAAAGAGAGAAGAGAAAGAGAAAGGGAAGAGAAATTACGGGGCCCGCTACGGGCCCGTGAGAGGGTGAGAGGGAGGAGAGTGAGAGAAGGAAAGAGAGGGAGAGAAAACACTAGACGGGCCCACCACGAGCTCGTAAGAGGGAAGAAGAGAGAGAAAGGGAGAAAGATAGAGAGGGGGTGCAACTTAGTCGGTGGCCTAGAGTGGAGAGGGAGAGAAGAGAGGCAAAGAGAGGGGAGAGAAGGGGAAGGAATAGAAAGAAACATAAAAGACAGAAAGAAAGAGCGAAGTAACAAGAAGAGGAAAGAGAGAAAAAAGAAGAGAGAAATAAGGAGAGAGAGAACAAGAAAAGAGAGAAGGGAGAAAGAAGAGGGAGAGAGAAAGGAGAAAGAGAGAAGAGATAAAAAGAAGGGAGAGAGATGAGAGAGAAGAGAGAGGAAGAAAGAGAAAAAGAGAGAGAAAAGATAGAAAAAAGAGAGAAGAGTGAGAGAAGAGAGAGGAGAGAGAAAGTGGACCAGGTACCTAGGCTCATACGATGGCTTGAGCCAAGCAGCTAGGTGAACCCACAATGGTCTCTTGAGGGCTCCTTTAGTGTAGACTTGAACCTTGGATTAGAGGGTTAGGGTCTAGGTTTGGGTATGGGTGAGCCTAGGCAGGTTGAGACGACTAGAGAATAGGAAGTTGGAGGTTTGGAAGTTGGGAGTTAAAAGTTTGGGATCCAAAGGAAATTATCCAAAGTTATATTGTTTTCTCTCTCCTCTCTCTTGAAGTTAGAAGCAATGCACAAGCAAAGGCTTGAAGCGGAAAAAACCCAATATTTTGATCATGCTTCCAAATGTAGGTTACAATTTGTGTAGAGAACTTATATAGAACACCCTTGAAACATGAGTAGTTGCCCAAAACATGACCAAATTGTTTAAAATTACAATTTTAATGAATTAAAATAGAAATCTCGTTTATGGCAAAAAATATCATTTTACCCCTAATATATTTTGGAAAATGACTCAACCATTCCTCTTAGAGGGGCCTCATGTTTTTGCCATGCCTCGGAGCATATTATGGAGCTTTTCAATGACAATTCAGACGATCAGACACTACAGAAATGATGCTTGTATCATCACAAACATTTTGATACCCATTATTGAGCTTGAGTCAGAGTTTTGAGGTTGATCCCAAAATTTGGCTAAACTCATGAACTTTTAAACTTTGAGCATTGGTGTACGATGATCTGTCATGTCTTTAGTCTTTTTCTTGGTCACAAATCGAAGGGGAGATCATTGTGATCATTTTACAACGAAAATCCCTTGATTTGGTCACCATTTGAGCACTTTCCAAATTATGGACGTCGATGGAAAATGGGAGTCCGGTAATCGAAAACCTATCCTTTCTTGAACTTGAAATTAGACATCTTTCGGTCTTCAATCTCGAGCAAATTTTACTTCATGATGAAGCCTTCTGAAATGTGGTCGCAATGGACCTACATTTGAGGCGACTCAATGTCGGGGCTTCAAGATACGACCCTTTGAATGATGGGATGTTCGTCTTTAATACTTTGCAACAAATGAGTTTCAAAATCCAACTTCTCTCTATAAATTCTATCGTCTCGAGCATCATCACAAGTCGTGCCATATACCAAAATGAGCCGCTTGATGAGCTCTTCAATATATCAAAATTTGAGATAAATTGGCCTCAAAATGAGAAAGTTATGATCTTCACAAGACAATCATGAAATTTAATAGCATACTTTCCATAAATGAAATGGAAACTGGTTCACCGAGGCTGCACCGAAATAGTGTAAAACCTACCCATTTTTTGTAAGTTAAGCTCAGAATGGTTCAAGAAGATCCAAACGAGCCGAAAATTGATATCTAGGAGTTTCTAGGCATTTTAAATCCAATGGTGGTGGTCTGATACTTGTTAGAAGCCTCATTATACGAAACTTTGTTGGTGTGCTTAGAGCCCTCACATGCTTTTTGAGGTCGATCCGGCACCTTTTCAAGTTCACCCAAAATTAGGCTCATTTAAACAATGCTTCTTAGTCAGCATGCGTGGTTGGTACCAACGAGACTAGGTTGCAGCTAGCTCCTTCCTTATTCTCACTGGGGATAGAAGTATGTCAAAATACCTTGTAACAACTTGTCCCTCTTAATGTTGCTCTTCGAGAGGAGTGAGAAGCATAACATTTGGAATAAAATCTGTCAGAGTTCATCTTTCGAATCCTTATTGAGGCGCTTTTATTGTCTTTTAATGTTCTTTTTTCTTCTCGATCACCGGCATCAATAGGACCTTTGAGGAGGAAATCGTGCCAAGCTTCTTCCGTAGGGGGTGATCGAAGTGGATTCTAACGATTGGGGGCCTCTTTCAAGGACTTGATAGACCCAATATTGTTAAAATCCTTTTTAAAAGGAGCATGGTGGTTGGGGGCCTAGCTTAAGGGTTTTCTTCCCAACTCATCAATGCTCCCATTTGGCCAACTGGTGGGTGCCTTTGGGGCTTGA